TGTTCAAGGTCAACATAGACAAGTCTAGCTCATTAATAATGTTTACAAATATTATGTGTATTAATAACCCATCTATAATAAATATTTATTCTGGTATGTCTACCAGTAACAAATATGCTAGTCTATACTATCCCATATTTATATTACCAGGCGCTAATATTATTAATTTTAGCCAAGCAACCAGATTTCTATTACAGTTACATATTCTAAATCAACTAAAGCAATGATAAATTACATGCCCATATTTGTTCTATTAGTAGTGCATACACTTTATGTGTAAACAACAGAGGTGTATCTGCGGTCAAAAAAATCATATTTGAAAGAGCCAGTAAACAGTAAAAGCGTTTCTTGGTTTGCATGTGCAGTTAAAATCAGAAAATAAAATACAGTTGTTGTTTTCGCAGTCCTCAAATTGACTGGCATAATAAATGTCATATTTATTAATACTAGATATTAATCAGTCAAGTTATTAACTGCAATATATTAACTGCACGAATGGCCTTGGATGAACAGTTTAATAGTAATATATTAGGATCAATAAGTGCTAAGCACTGAGTTACAAGCATTGCAGAGCTTAGATGAATTTTGTGTTCTATCTAGAACACAACATGGTGGAATTACTGACTATATGTGTGACACGTGTATTCTAGAGTTCAACAGTGACATCATCAGATTGTCCACAATTGTACCTTATTATCTACTGTACACAACTTCAAATTTCAAGAAAGATGGACTTTCGCAAATTTCACGAGTCGGTACAAATCGTGAAATTTTGTAGCAGTGAAAATTCTCTGGGGTCATTCAACACAGAGTGTTAATGACTTTCTTGGTTTTGTCTTCACGAATTCCATTAAATCACAAAAAATACGCAATTCAACATTATGTTTTGAACGACAAAATATTAATTACTGAATACTGCACTGAAGTATCTGAGTTAATTTCTCATTTATGCAAAACTATCCCATTCCTCTTTCAAAATATAATATGATGAATATACAACAATTAATTAAGGTCACTTGTTGCCATAGTAACTACAGATCTGTAAAGGCTAATGAAACATGACATACACATTCAATAGCATTTAGGTGTCAAAATTTTAATTTTAACATTAATCAAAAATTGGTGATCTAATGTTGTTTCAAATCTTTTACATACTGTAAAATACTTTATTTTCGCTGGAATTAATTTTCACTGAAAAGACATTTTGTGTGTTTTGTACGGAATTTATTTTCACTGATTTTTGATGAGTTGAATGTAAAATATAGAAAAAAAGGCATTTTCACTGGATTTTATTTTCACTGAATTATTCCTTCAGGGAAAATAGCGAAAATTAATTCCAAGCGAAAATAAAGTATTTCACAGTAACTTTACATTACAATACACTTATTTCAGACCACCTTAATAAAGTTTAAATAATCGTAAATGATCAAATGCAAACGAGAGGTTGATATTCAATAAATCTGTGATTCAGGAATATAATGCTTCTTTCATTTTTGTTTGACAGTGGACTATGAAAACTCTTTAAATCCAGATTATATCTTTGCAAGTACTGAGGTGTAGGAATCTTTACATATACACACCCAGAAGCACATGATAACCCCAACAGCTATCTCTGCGTTGCAGGTACATGTACAATGAATTATACTACGGTCGATGTTATGTGAAAACAGAGGAAGTACAAGTATGCACACAAAGGCAGTATTGCAATCCCATACAACCTGAGTGTATACTTTTTGGTATTCTCGTGATAACCTTTATTAGTGGTGTTCATGCACAGCTCCTCAGCACGGGCTAAGAGGTCAAATACCTTATCCCGTGCCAAGAAAAGGTTACACTTACATGTAGCATGGACTAAGAAATGCTAAGTACAATTTTTAAGTGGCCTGTTTTTAAGACCAGGTCCTAAGTGTGCGTGAACACTTAGCCTGGGCTAAGCACCAAAAACGCCATTGTATTCAATGTTCATTTGGACGATTTACTATTATATTCATAACTATTCATTTCGGTATGCCATTTCCAACATGACAATCAACGCGAGCACACCTATGAAAATTGTTCTTGATAAAAAATATACACTAATGTGCTACTTCCTGTTATTTTGCAATCTGCACTTTATGAATTTGTTTTGGTGTTGTTTAATAACCATAGAACTAACATGTATATCTTCCTAGTTACTATACTTAGTAATCATAGTTAAAATGACTGAAGATTTTTGTATATTCTTAACAAGTCTGGGTGTTCTTTAACCTGTGCTATCCACCGTTTCCTCTCGTTTGTGAACACAATTAGGTCTATCCAATATGCAAACATACCAGATTAGTTTAACTCTTAGCCCATACTCTGTGTGGCATGAACCCTACTATTATTACACATCTTTTCTGTACTTAATAATTTAAATGCCAGTAAAATCAGCTGCCTGATTGTGAATAAAATTTCTGATGACATGACATGAAAATGCAAGATAAACTAAGAATAAATTTGTTGTTAACAAGCACATTTTGAGTGAAACAGGTACTTCATTATCAAATGGTAGCAAGTTATATGTTTATTTAAGGACAATTTATTTTTCCCTGGTTTTATTACTTCATGTAACAAAATAAATCCAAATTACGAAAGATACTTAAGATTTGTTTATCATAAGTGACATGAACACAGGCACATGTAGATACTGGTATCATAAATTATGTGGTACATTTGTATTATGATAAATATATAGAACTGTATTTCATCTATTGAAAGCAGACACATATCAGAAGATGTTCTGGTATGCCTGAATTGTTTCTCTAATGTGCAAACAGGTAGAGCACAAAGGACCAATAATTGGCATCCTTCTCATCAAAATGTTTGAAAAATAAACTACATTACCATACATGCACAATTAACAAAAATGTAATACCTCAACCCAGGAATGTATATGGCCCAGTATGGTTGACCCAAGTTACTGCAATTACTCACTGGTACAGTAGAACTAAAAATAATCATATGATAGAACCAGATTTATATAATTATTCAAGCCTTCAGACACATCTAACACAAAACTGTAGATATCAGTTTGTCATCGACAAGATCTTCTTGCATCAATCAGATTGCAGAAGCTGTTGATTATGACAGTCAATACGTAATAGACATGTTCCGATAATCTGCCAGTGAGGCCGCAACAACTATCGCCATACATGGACGAAAGACGAGATATTCATAAATAGAAGTAAAGATCACCGTGGGGATTTAATTGAACTCATCTATTAAGAAGTGGACATCAATTGGAATTACAAAACAAGCGACCATGCGACCGAAAGAGCTCTGCTGTAATTCCTAACTGTGAGTTGGAAACGTAGGGTGGAGTGATGTTGATAAAGTGCTGCACCATAAAAGAAACTTGTCATTGTAATATTATCCATTTAAAGAAATGGAGATCATGGAGTAAGATATGGCCAGTCAGGACAAGATTTTTTAAACTCAAAATACAATAGAGGTTTAAAGGGGGCTACGCAATGTGACAGCTGAGCTAAAAAGAATGATGCACACGTTCACTCACTGATGTCAGATCATTATCCGATTTACAAACTCATTATTTCTCAAAATTACGTAATCTTACTCAGAATAATCTTTGCCCGAATGCCTTGGTGACCTTGGAAAACTACAATTACCATATTGGTTGCATTGAGACATTTGTCATTCATTTATCATAGTATGCATTTTAATTCGCTATAACTACAGTGTAATAGACTTCAAATAACAGCAAAGCACATTAATTTTTTTTAAATCACATGTTTGACTAGTCATATGTATATTCAATGCATTAATTGGCAGATACTATGTTCCAATAAATAATGAGCCATAAAGTATTATTAGAATATGAACATGTGTATATGTGCTTTCTATATATTATTTGAATCCAAATTTCAGCCATTTACGTGTATTTACAACTGATCATAACCACCAAGTCAAGGAAAGATAAAACGCCTGATACAAACATAAACTGGATACGAATGAAAATTACTTGAAGTTAACTCTATAACAATATGCAGATTGGTGGTCATTGCCAGCGCATGTTCACATTTCATTTTTAATAATATATAATGTATTTTACATGTACACACATTATGTAGATCGCATATTGAACAGAGTGCGAAACAATGACCAATCGTTACATGTTTTTTAAACATTTTTGCAGGGAAGTGAGATTCAAGTGATTTAATGTGGAATATTTACACCAAATTGCTGAATAATTAAATCTGAGCCGAAAGTATTGGTACAAAACTAAACAAAATGGCTGCCTGACATGACTCTGAACTCTGACATAGACGGATACTAGGAGAATATATAGCTGATTGCTGTAGTTAAGTATGGAACAGAAACAGACGGTTAATGAGAATGGTTCAGTTCAGACCTAGACACGATGGATGTGGTGGCTGACTATTAATGTTTTGCACACGTCATTGATTCAGAATGTCGTCGACAATCCCCCGGCTCTACCATGCTACAGTTCAAATAGCGGACATTGGCCGTCATAAAACTACGACACAGATAGGAAGATGCCCATGATAGCGCATCGTGCCATTATTGCACAGAAACATCATTCAGCGACCGTCTTTTTGTTGAAGAAAAGCTACACAATTTTGCAATACTGGGCACGGTAGCAAACTAGAGCTGTTTAGTATAACATTCAGCCCAAAAATCAACCCGGGTTACAAGAGTCTGCTATTAATCATGTGTAATTCTATTCACCCACGAGAACTCCTCTCAAGGTTACGCATAATTATTGAACCAGTGAGAGCCTGTAAGCAGTAAAACCAGATCCCTGACCTTCCAAATATAACCCAGTAATGAGTAATAATAAATAGAAGAGTTGCGAATTCCAAGCCAAAATCTAAATGCAAAGCTATTTAATCATCAACGTGTACAGCGTGCACGCATGGTCAGTGATTTTGTTTGCAACTACGCAGATGTATGTTTGAAATTCAAAAAACATGCTGAAATAACAAAAGGAGGGTACTTACATGCTTTAGAATAACCTTTCGGTGTTTAGTAGCAATAATGACGAGTTCATTTACGATATCTGGCGAGGAAAACCGTCGTGTAAACAATGAAACACGCATAAAAAATGTTGTGGTTCTTACGTTTTGTGCACATAATTTGCGCCGCCATATTGATTGGGCATTACCATTCCGCGTGAGGGGCGATGGCAAGTCGCGTCGCAGGCGAGCTATCGTGTAGACTATGTACCAAGGTGAGTCACAATTCAAAAAGTGTTGGAAATCGTTATAAATTTCAATTGTTTAGTTTTCAATTGAATCTGAAGTGTTACATTTTATGACAACATAAATAACTAATAAACATACACGAGATGTAATATATGTCCATTTCAGTAAACCGAGACCAACCTTCGAAATAATCTCTTGTGCAAATCGCAGTGTTACTAATAATAATTTGATTACACAACTGAATCATCAGAAGGTGAAGAGAATAACAAGACATAAATAAACAAATGTAATAAAAACAATAAAACTTAAAAAAAATAAAGACTAAAGAAATATCAAAATAAAAACTTCACTATTCTCACAACTTTTAATCAGGGGATTTATAGATAGTGTCTTTAAGGTATAGTGAAAGGGCTTTTGCATTTTTCATTACCTCAAGACAAATATCATCTGGTAAATTAGACTTGAGATCACAATCTTCAAAAAGTCTTTTCATTTCACTTTTAAAGAAAGGACATTTAAGGATAAAATGCTTCTCATCATCAAGAGAATTTATGTTACATCTTTTACATGTTCTGTCATCTAACAAAATGTTGGGATTTGTTCCTTCTCCCTAGTTCAATCTCTGGATTGTGATCACTGATTCTAAATTTACTTAACATTTTTCGAAGGTTGAAATTATTTATATTTTTCAAATAATTTTCAAACTAAAAATTTTCTTTAAATAAACAGTAAGTCCTCCATTTATTCCTTTCACCATCATTACTATTTGCTTTTGTTAATTGATTTTTCAAAGACAAAATATAATCATTTGTCAGTTTTAATTTAATTACTTTTGACAATTGATTACTGTTACTCACACGACATTTTTCTTCAATTTTGCTAACATCATCTTCCCCTAATATGTTGTCTACATGCTTAATCCATGTTGACTGTGATTTTACCGTTTCATTTAAAGCAGCCTTAAGGACATTGTTACCGGACAAAGTACTCAGTCTATACCAGTATTTAATTTGTGAAATTGAGGCCTTCAATCGAATAAGAATTCTGCCTAATTACACCTAATTCACCCATGATGCCTATGGTTGGGGTCACTTTGCTAACACCCAAAATAAAAATTTAGAACTGATTACACACCTGTTCCAAGTTGTTGAAATCATTTGATAATTCACAAGCCCAAATTTTAGACCTATACATCAAAATTGGCACAATCAATTGTTCAAATAATTTCAAGCACAGAACAGATTACCGAATTGAAAATAGTGCCTTCATAGCTTTATTTTAAGCATTGACTGGTTGTTTAAATTTGCCATTTGGACTAAAAAAAATCCCAGATATCAAAATTCCTTAACCAATGTAATAAGATGGTTATTCAACACAAAGTTATGTTTCTTTAAAAGACGGTTGTTTTTAGTAAAAACCATAACTTTTGTTTTTCACATTAACATTGAGATGCCAATTCGTACAGTAAACTTAAAGTTTGTTTAAACAATTTTGTAAACCATCTGCTGTCTCTGACATAATGACTAAATTATCTGCATAAAAAATACTATTAATAGGATTATTTTCAAGCATACTTGGTGAATCTTTTTTGTCACCAAATTGATCAGGGAGGTCATTAAACAAAATATTAAACAGAGTGAGAGAGATGTTACATCCCTGCTTAACCCCACAAGTGGAAGCAAACCCATCAGTAAAGCCATATGGTAATTTGATTTTGTAATTGATTTTGGTGTACATAGACTTAATAATATCATCAAAATTACCATTGATTTCCAAATTTTGCATTTTAAGAAATAAACCGTCTCTCCACACATTGTCAAATTCTTTTTTGAAATCAATGAAGCAGCAGTATAATTGTTTTGTTTTATCTTTATCACAACGGTATAATGCTTTATCAATTGCAGTTTTAATTGCAGATGGTAATTTGTGTGTAGGATATCTCATAAAATGGCGACGATATTGTCTTTCAATTATTCACAGATTCCATCATCAAGCTCCAATCGAGTCGCTTTTCATCGACTTCTAGGTTACTACATCGTACCAAAGTATAAATGTGACTATGATGTATATTACAGCAGCGATAGCATGCCACAGTTACGAATACAAATCGTGTATTCGTGGAGACTGTGTCCACAAAAATTTAAATACACCACAGGAAATATACATACACCATATATGCAGTGAAATATTCGTAGTCCAGAGAAAGAAAAACGAGAAAAAAATACTTGTTTTTTTTAAATGTCTGATTATATATATTTGTTGTATTATTTCTGTATCATTGGTTAAAATTTACTGTGCGTGATTTCAGTTTTGTTTTCCAAAATCTGGATGTGGGTTAACATTCCACCGTACATTTACACAATCATTATGATAACGTATGGTCGAAAATACGTATATTTAACAATACATTAGTAGTTTACTGCGGCCAAATACGAAGAAACGCTTTATTGCATTTTTATAGAAAATATTTTTTTTACTATCACATCCTGCAATACTTTTTCCCACTAATAATACACAAAAAATGTCTCCTATGCGTTTTTGTGTGCCTCCTTAATTATGACCCAAAGATGACGGTCCGTCATGAAATTCGACGTATTAAGTACATGTACTAGTATATTCTCCAGAACAATTGTAGGACGTTTCAGCCACGGGTGTCCACTTTTGTATTATTGTACCCATTTTACTTATCTTATGACTTTGTTTTTGACCCGAAATTATTTGACAATATTTAACCCTAACCATTCGCCTCTTGTATACTAAACACGTACTATTGTGATCTTGACCTTTGTCCTGGCAATATACCCAGGTCTTAAGAGTCGCATGGAAAACATGTGTGCCAAGTTTGAAGGCGCTTGCTGGAACGATGTATTTTTACAGTTTTTCAAATAGTTTTGAAAGAAACAATCCTGAAAAAACTATTTGACCCAACACTTTCATACCGTTGTCACGTGATTTTCACCCCCTGAGGGGAAAACAATACCAAGGAAATCTTAACCTCTGAGTATATTTCCTAGGGAATTGGCACCTCTTAGCATTTTAATTTCCTAGAAATCTACTCCCCCGCAGAGGAAGTATGCAGTATTACTGGCATCCTGACAACACATAAGACAAGTGAAAACAAAGACTGTGTTTCAGTTAAACGTACCATTTGTTAGTAAATAAATATAAATACATCGCTATTTGCGAACATAGATCTATAGGTCAATACAAACATATAATGGTATCAGATATTTTCCAACAACGCCGTGAATTCTAGAAAAAAATACAGCCTTTTCTTTTATTTGTATTCTTGATAACGTTGATCAAAAGTGTTTAGAAAATCTGACCATCTCTTGTCAGAAGATAGCGACATTATTATCGTCTAAGCCACTTCCACTGTGCCATTATTACCTGTATCGACATTTTCCGTACAGTTTACAGCGCACCAAAGAACTAGAATAAGTATGCGCAATGTGTTCTTGGTTTAAAATTGGTAAAAACAACAAACATCATTATGTTACTTTGAAAATCATTACCTATTATGTGTGTGTGTTCTATGTATTTTAAGATTGTTTTGAAAATAATGTTTTTTCATATTTTTAATATTTGAAGTGATTATATATTATTCAGTATTTTTCTTCTGGAAAAAAACATATATTTATATTACTATGCAAATTTTGCCTGAAAGTCTCATTCAAAATGTAAGTCTGTAAAAAAACTGCTTGTCTCTTGAAATAGACATATAAAATTAACAATTGTATTAGTTCTTTTCATCCAGAGAGGCTCGTCAACTTGCGTGAGGACATGTTGTTACCTGTATTTCAGAGCTTCGTTCTATTATCGCGAATTGCTAAAAGAAACAATAAAGTTGACAAGCCCCCGTTCTTCCGACTGGTTTATTCTGCAGGAAATTCATTGCTATTAAATATTCATGAATGCCCACAGGTGGGCGCGGAAACACGTGCAAAATGAGGTGAACATGGTAAAGGTCACACTGCAGACATAACATGGTGGCAAGTTAAAATTCGAGTTTGTCGTAGTCGTCGTTTCTAATTCATCACAATTTGTAAAAAAAGTAACTCGTACTAGTCGTAGAATTAAAAAAAAAATCGGCTGCTACAACCAGCCGACGTCTTCTCGGTCAGAGATTAGTTGAAGAGACGTTGTGATTGGCTTAGATGATTGTCAATTAGAACATCATTAACATAATCACACGTTGAAAAATCGACAGGTTCCTGCAGT